CCGACTCACAACACCCGACTCACAACACCAGACTCACAACACCAGACTCACAACACCAGATAACAATAACAAGAGGCCCTACACACCAGCCAGGTATTACTATAGGTTAGAGGCGACATACACACACGATGACGTCAACACACCTCTGAGAGAACACCAGCAGGAGCACTCGTACATACAGTACCGTTAGAAAAAACTGAGCCAGCGGCCATCTTGGTGTATCAGCGGCCATCTTGGTGTATCAGCGGCCATCTTGGTGTACCAGCGGCCATCTTGGTGTATCAGCGGCCATCTTGGTGTACCAGCGGCCATCTTGGTAGCGCATCAGCGGGCCATCTTGGTGTACCAGCAGTCACCAGGTACCAGCGCCATCTTGGTGTACCAGCGGCCATCTTGATGTATCAGCGGCCATCTTGGTGTACCAGCGGCCATTTTGGTGTAACACCAGCGGCCATCTTGGTGTACCAGCGGCCATCTTGGCGTATCAGCGGCCATCTTGGTGTACCAGCGGCCATCTTGGTGTACCAGCGGCCATCTTGGTGTACCAGCGGCCATCTTGGTGTACCAGCGGCCATCTTGGTGTACCAGCGGCCATCTTGGTGTACCAGCGGCCATCTTAGTGTATTTGTAAGGTACCAAGGCACAGTTTACCTTCAGGATAGTCCAACTCTCCGCGTCCAGTTGTACCTCAGGGCTGGGGTGAGGGCAGTACTATCCAATTAAAATCGAGTTTGTCTTATAAAATACACCTTAATTGGCACAAAATACCTTTCCAGGTTCTTTAATTAGACAACTAGATCGTCAGTAGTGCCTATTATGACGTCATCAGGGTACGTAGAACATGGTCGCATTGGACAAAATTCATAATAAAACCAAAACAAATAAAAAAATTCCTTGATTGTTTTTGTAATTTAGGGTAAAAATATTATCAATTTAAAACAGTCATTACAAACCTGTATTTATAGGTTGGAATACAGAACTAAAAATAATAAATAACTTAGAATAAATAACAAGAGATATGATATTGTGTGTGTGTGTGTGTGGTGTGTGTGTGTGTGTGTGTGTGTGTGTGTGTGTGTGTGTGTGTGTGTGTGTGTGTGTGTGTGGTGTGTGTGTGTGTGTGTGTGTGTGTATCAGCATTGCGGCCTTAACAAATAATAATAATAAAAAAAAACTCTAGGTAATTTGCATAGTGTAGATATTATGTTAATTAAGTCATAGGTTTTAGTAAAGAAACTCCTACATTAAGTATTTCTCAGGAGTCTTGTGGTGAGCAGTATTGGAGGAATATTTAATAAGAGAGTAATATTCTGCCTTGTTTAGACACACATACAGACACACGTACACAGATACATACACACACATATAGACACACGTACACATATACATACAGACACATATAGACACACGTACACAGATACATACAAACACATATAGACACACGTACACAGATACATACAGACACATATAGACACACGTACACAGATACATACAGACACATATAGACACACGTACACATATACATACAGACACATATAGACACACGTACACAGATACATATAGACACACGTACACAGATACACAGACACACGTACACATACACACACATATAGACACACGTACACAGACACACAGACACACACTAGCCTACCATGTTGTTAAGTGTGTGTAAATTTAATTCATCATATGTAATAATGCACAATTTTTTTTAGCTCAATTAAAATAACAAACAGAAACATATAACTTAATTTTTTGGCTCAATTAACAAATACATTTTTTTTGTAAGGTAAATTATGCGTTTAATTCCTGTTTGTGTTTATTTGTTTGTTTGTTTGTGTGTGTGTGTGTATGTGTGTGTGTTTCGTGTACATGTGCGTTGGAATGTTGTCGTGTGGGCTATTTTTGGTATGTGTATTTCTGTTGTGTGCGTGTTGTATGTACGTGGTAACTCATGTGCATTCCTATGTGTCTGTTTATCTTTATACATACATCTTGTGTGTATTTGTGTGTATATTTATGTGTACGTATAAATTTGCGTGTATTTATGTACGTAAGTGTTTGTGTGTGTATGTGTGTGTGTTCATGTGTAGGTATTTTTATCATCTCCAACACCCTCCACCAATCTCCACCACCATCTCCCTCTCTCCACCAATCTCCCTCATTACCACCAACAATTAAATGACAATAAAACCCGTAAATACAGATGACATTTATTAAGTTATTGCTACAGGGACCTCATGTATAAAGGAGTCTGTTATGTAACCCTGAATTACAGCGTTGTTAAGGAGAATGGTTACAGTCCTTTCAGTAAACACAAAAACAAAATCAATTAGTGTTTATTTTTCTTGTTTTCTTTCTATATTTTTGTTTATTGTGATGTTTTCGATTATATTATCTTGTTTGTGTTTATATTATCACCTTGTTTGCTTTCATCACTTTTGGTTGTAGTTAAATGAGTTACGTCACTCTTTTTTTGTGTAAACAGATCAATGACGTCATGCTCCCTTATGTGAATAGACCAATGACGTTACTCTATTAGGTGAACAGATCAATGACGTCATGCTCCCTTATGTGAATAGACCAATGACGTTACTCTATTAGGTGAACAGATCAATGACGTCATGCTCCCTTATGTGAATAGACCAATGACGTTACTCTATTAGGTGAACAGATCAATGACGTCATGCTCCCTTATGTGAATAGACCAATGACGTTACTCTATTAGGTGAACAGATCAATGACGTCATGCTCCCTTATGTGAATAGACCAATGACGTTACTCTATTAGGTGAACAGATCAATGACGTCACTCTCTTTTGTAAACAGACCAATTACGTTACTCTTATGTAAACAGAGCAATGACGTCACGATCTTTTATGTAAACAGACAAATAACGTCAATCTATTATATAAGCAAATTAATGACGTCACTCTTATGTAAACAGATCAATGATGTCACACTTAGGTAAACACACCATCAGCTGTGACTGTAAACTTGATTTAATTATTGAAAAAATAATCACATAATCGAGAGAAATAAATTCATTCTCTTCATTCAAAATTATTTCTCTGTTATTCCACTTGGTATGACAGTCGGTGTTTACAGTACGTTCGTTAGTTTGTGTTTACGTCACTTGAATCTGCACCCGAGTACAGTAAACAACAACAACAACAAAAATCACTGGTATTTCAAGGTTTTGTACGTATTAATTTTCGTAGCTTTTATAAAATTCTTAAATTCTAGAAAATAAACAAATATGGATGTTATTAGTTTTATTTTCTCAAGTGACTTTTAACTTCTTAGACATAAAACTTGAGAATGTAATATTAATGACAATAAATCGTATTATTTTTAAACCTGAGATAAAAATGTCGAGAATAATAAGAACAGTTACAATTCTTTATATTTTTATATATATATTTTGGTCACATAATCTTATACAGTAACGTTCTTCAACAGGTCTTCGTCTCTTGTTCTCTCTGTCTCTATCTTTCTTTCTCTCTCCATTTTCCTCGCCCGTTTATTCATTTCCCGTCAAATTATGTAGCTTTCACTTTTTTACAGTTCCCGCAAAATTACTTCATTTCCTACAAAATTCTGTAGTTTTTACTTTTCTTCATTTCCCGCCAATTTCTTTTACGACATTTCCAGGTCGCCTTGTCGAGTTTTTCAGTCATTATTTTTTCTTCAATATTCAACTTTTCAGCTCATTCTATCATTACTACTCAAAATTGATCGTTAATTATTCTTATTTCTAATATTTTCCATAATTTCCTCTGTATATAAACACATCTTAGAGAGTTGATGAAGAAGCATTACTCGTACACAAAGTCATCAGTCAGCAAGGAGGATGCATTATTGGAACGTGTGGGAGCGAGTTAAAGACGATAGTTTTCAAAAAGGATGTAAATATTAGATTTTTTTCCCTAGGACGTGAGAGAGTTAATGAAGACGGAGACAGCAACTAAGCGAATGGAAATGTCTGCTTTATGTCTTAGCAAGTTAATTATGGCTTTGGAATATTTATGAGTTCATGAAGACATATAGAGATTAACTAAGAGGAAATATATGAATGAATTATATCTTATTAAGCCACTGATGACTCTAGATATTAACTTAAATGACTAATATAGATGTCTTATGTCTTTCTTGCGTCCTGTGACCTTTGAACTTTGACCCGTGACCTATCAACTGTGACCTGTGAACCGAGACCCGTGACCCGTGACCTTTCAACTGTTACCTATGAACTTTGAACCGAGACCCGTGACCTGTGAGACCCGAAGACCCGTGACCTGTGACCGGCGTATTAATCTTGACCTGTTTTCAGCGTTGACAGGTTGATGATGACGACGTCCAGCCCTAGGGGAGAGGGAAGATGGTTACTTATTAACTTAACACACAGGTATATATTTTGTATATTACCTGTAGATGTTATTGTTGTTGTTGGTGGTGTTATTGTTGTTGTTATCGCTGCTTTTGTTATTATTTTTAGTGTTATTTTTGTTGTTATTATTACTTATACTACGTTTTCTCCTATTATTATTATTATTATTATTATTATTATTATTATTATTATTATCATTATTATCAGTTGTTGTATTTATATTAAAGTTACAATTAACATTTAAGTAAACAATTCGACTGTTCCAACAAACTACATTTCAATAACAGACTAACTCATACTATGAACAGTAGATCATTTATCATTATTATTTGTTCCACACATTAATGATCACATTTTTTCTACTAAATGAAAATAAGAAAATATTTAACGTATTATTTTTCTGAATTATTTACTTTTTTAATATACAATAAAAAATGCTATTATTTGCTCTATAAATTATTACTGTTGTATAATATTGATAACTAGACATAAAAGATTAGTTAGATGAAGAACGAATGAAAGAGGATTAATAATAATAATAATAATAATAATAATAAACTACTACTACTATTAATAAGAGTAACAATACTACTAATACTAAAATTGCTACTACTACTACTACTAATAATAACACTACTACTACTAATAATAATAATAATAACACTAATACCACTACTACTACTACTACTACTACTACTACTACTACTACTACTACTACTACTACTACTACTAAGAAGACGAAGACACAGACAGTACCATCGTCAACACAACACAATACCTACACACACCATCTCAGCGAACACTTCCTTCAAGTCGGCCCTAGGAGGAGGAACCTTGCTGGGCGCTGGTGCTAGGAGAGGCTATAACCGCTGCTGAGGACCTCCCCTGGTGTGTGGAGAAGGAGGAGGAGGAGGAGGAAGACGAGGAGGAGGAGGAGGAGGAAGGGGGAATCGTGGAGGTGGGAGGAGGAGGAGAGGATGAAGTCTTCCTGTTGTACTGCCGCTCTCAACTCGTCTGCGGGGAAGAGGGCGGGAGAGGTTAGTTTGAGCTGTCTGTCTATCTGTCTGTCTGTCTGTGTGTCTGTGTGTCTGTCTGTCTATCTATCTGTCTGTCTGTCTGTCTGTCTATCTATCTATCTGTCTGTCTGTCTGTCTGTCTGTCTATCTGTCTGTGTCTGTCTATCTATCTGTCTGTCTGTCTGTCTGTCTGTCTGTCTGTCTGTCTATCTGTCTGTCTATCTGTCTGTCTGTCTGTGTGTCTGTGTGTCTGTCTGTCTATCTATCTGTCTGTCTGTCTGTCTGTCTATCTATCTATCTGTCTGTCTGTCTGTCTGTCTGTCTATCTGTCTGTGTCTGTCTATCTATCTGTCTGTCTGTCTGTCTGTCTGTCTGTCTATCTATCTATCTACCTGTCTGCCTGTCTGTCACCATACCTATCTATCTGTCTGTCTGTCTGTCTGATACTGATCTATCTAATCTGTCTGTCTGTCTGTCTGTCACAATGCAATGTCTATCTGCGTATGTCTGTCTATCTATCTATCTGTCTGTCTGTCCGTCTATCTGTCTATCTATCTGTCTGTCTGTCTGTCTGTCTGTCTATCTATCTATCTATCTGTCTGTCTGTCTGTCTGTCTATCTATCTGTCTGTCTGTCTATCATCTATCTGTCTGTCATCATCTATCTATCTGTCCTATCTGTGTCTGTCTGTCTATCTATCTGTCTGTCACAATGCAATCTGGTCTGTCTGTCTATCTATCTATCTATCTGTCTGTCTGTCTGTCTATCTATCTGTCTATCTGTCTGTCTGTCTGTGTGTCTGTGTGTCTGTCTGTCTATCTATCTGTCTGTCTGTCTGTCTGTCTATCTATCTATCTGTCTGTCTGTCTGTCTGTCTGTCTATCTGTCTGTGTCTGTCTATCTATCTGTCTGTCTGTCTGTCTGTCTGTCTGTCTATCTATCTATCTACCTGTCTGCCTGTCTACTCATATTTATAGGTATTTATTATTTATAAATATCGATGTATCTGTCTATTTATCTATTTATTTCTATAGGGATATATAACATGGGTTTATATGTACAGATAATTATATGAATACGTACATACAGTTACGCACATACAGTTACGCACATACAGTTACGCACATACAGTAACCCGCGTCATCATCACTCAATCATCACCGTTATCTCCACGTCATCACCTCATCATCACCACCAGCCTCATCACGTCATCATTCACCACGTCATCACCTCACCACGTCATCACCTCACCACGTCATCACCTCACCACGTCATCACCTCACCACGTCATCACCTCACCACGTCATCACCTCACCACGTCATCACCTCACCACGTCATCACCTCACCACGTCATCACCTCACCACGTCATCACCTCACCACGTCATCACCTCACCACGTCATCATCTCACCACGTCATCACCTCACCACGTCATCACCTCACCACGTCACCAAGTAAAGGTATTGGTTCTCCGTGATATATTATTCACCCCCGAGGTACTGTACACGTCTCGCCCGTCACGCTTCAGAGTACATGACAACCGTGATGTGTTTATTTTTTTGGTGTTTGTTGCATTTTGTAGATTAACCAGCGATAACAAACGATAATTTCTTTCTCTTGCGTTAGCTTTTCCTAATATTGACATCTACACTATTATTAAGGGGAACATTATTTTTTTTTTCGTATCAATAAGACAATCGTGATCAAAACATGTTTCCTTCTTCACAAACACGTGTCAAGGTCTGGCGCCAACAACTACCAACAGCTAGGAGTTGTTGGTGTTATCTGTGGTCACCTGGACGGCCACCACTTGCTGTCTGACAGGATGGTGTGGCCGACTGGTCACTCACCCACTTGTTTGGTCCTGAACACGGGGACCAGGAGGACCCGCCAGGACCACCCACGAAGGACACTCGGCCAGACACATGGACCGACAAATCAACACTACAAGATTGGGATTTCCTCTGGCAGGTGAATTCTGCTCCGGAAAAGACTGAGGTGATACTAAAGCCACACTCCACCGCTGGGCTGCTCCTGCTGGCTGGACCATGTACCGCACAGGACTGACTCTCTCTCTCTCTCTTGTAGTACACCACAGCCT